AATAATTCGTTAAAGAACATAATAGCTTTATTAGATGTTAAGGTAGGAATCAAACCGCCAGAATTATCACTGTAACACCAAAATTGCACATAATTGGCTGTTACAGTATCGGAACCATAAACACCATTCACAATTTTAGCCGCCTGGCTTGCATTTTCGCCTTTGTCAAAGAAAAACTGTAAAATGTACCGAATTTTCTCTTTGTTCACTTCCATTTTTAACACGCTGTAACTCACAACTGAATGCACCAAACAAAAAACAGCAAAAGAATTTTTTTTACTGCGAAATGTACAGTATGTAAATGTACAGTATCGGAAATTGTTTGATCGATACTTTACGAGAAATCTATCAGTGCAGCCATCTACCGAAAAAAATAATGGATTTCTTTTTCCCCAAACTAATATATATATGTATGTATATATATGCATGTATTTATTTAATATGTTAAGTATATATATGCGCAGTTTTTAAAGCTGTACGGTTAGTACAAAAAACACTTTCAATCTTGAATACAAAAGTGAGGATGACGTGCGCTCTTCCATAACATCTCGTAATGCGAACGCCATTACAATCCAATTAATACGCCTAAGCGAATGCAATGCATAATGAGCACAATTGAAATGCAATGCATCTCTAAACAAAGAGCGCTGGATTTGTCAATAAAAACATAAGAAATTATGCTTGTTTATTTGCGGGTGTGAACTCTTCGCTACCATTTCTAGCAAACTTTAAGTTATTAAGTGCATCCATAAAGGCTCGTTTATGTAGAAACATGTATTATTTATTTATGCAAGCAACATATGCGTTCGCGTGTATACGCTCTGCCTAAGGGGAGATTTGCAATTACGTCTGATAAAAGGCTCCTGTTGTTCGTTATTGACAATTAAAACAATTTTTTTTTGATTTTCAATTATTACAGTACGAAAATTTGTTTTCAGTTAATTTGAATTTACGCAATTAACGCAATTGTGATCTTCTATATATTATGTGTACATATATAAACGTAGGTTGTTTTTAATGTAAAGAAAAGCATTAAATGCCTCATCGGACATCCTGCACTCAACGTGTGTATCTTCTGTGCTGGTCAGATGAACATATATTTGTTCTTTCATTTTTACAGAATACAATCAATGTCTTGTAGAGCTTTTGTAAAGCAGTAGAAAAAATTGGATAGAAATTTTTAGTAATAGAACGTCATTCTACCGCTCGCGTTAAGGAAGAAATTACAGGCTTGACAGGCTTGTTGGCTTTCTATTTTTGGAATTCTTAAGATCGTAAACTTCGCAATAGAACTGTAAATTTTAAATTAGTAAGTTCAGTTAATTTATCCAGATTAGGATTGAAAAAGGGCTAAAACTATTTAAAATGTATTCCCATAAAATTATGCTAAGTAAACTGAAAACATGAATACTTTGTAAGTTTTACGAATTTTGATGGATGTTGAGGGCTTAGATTTCGGCCAAAGATACTTCATGTGTCCTGTTTAGTTGGTTGATTTACGTTGTTAAAAAAAGGAGGAAAACAAATGAATTCTAAAATTATCAGCACAAAAGGGATCTTTTTACTTTATGAGAAAAGACGGAAGAAACAAACAACAATAAAGGAAAATTAATTATTGTTTATGATAAAAAAAGAGTTCTTCGAGCATTTTTTCTCATTTGAGTTGGAATTTAATAAAAATAGTAAAAATTTGTAATGCGAATGTTTAGTAAAGTAAAATTCTCTTATTAATTATATTTGCGCCTTGATAGCTGCTATGAAATTATATACGAAAGCAATGGTGATGTAATCGTTCGAAGATTTTTCAAGCTATAATTCTATAAATTTAAGTTTAAAAAACAGAAAATGTGAATAGTTTAGGATAGACATTCGATACTTAAAGAGAAGTCATGACAGGAGTTTCACTTTTGCTTAGATTACCCACTTATAAAATGAAATATTGGAAAAACCTTTCATTTCGCGACAATTAAGTTATGGATATGCTTGGCGCGTAGACTTCTTAGAACATTTAATGTGACAAATAGTGTGGAACATTGAAGGCTGCGGTAGCGACGATAGGATACCTCTAACGAGGGCTTGAACGCCCTAAGTGCAATGGAATGGTGGATATTGGAAGCGAATGATTGTAGATACTTATTCTACCCGATTCAGCTATCTACTTAGTCCGTAGTACATACGTCGAGAATCAATTCTGATATTTTGCTTGTTGTACTTATCACCGTAAGATGAAGATATTAAATTTGTTTTCCCGTCTACTCCACTTCTCATAATGTTATATATATATATATATATATGTATAAATAATAAAGTATAATTGATATATATTTTTATACATAGTTTTATATAGTTCTATATATATATACATATATAGTTATATATATATATATATATATATATATAGTTGATTATGTGACTGGGCTAGCCAATCTGCATGTCCGTCTGCCATTTATTATTGTAGCGTTCGCTTTGGCTTTAAAAACATGCTTGAATGATTGTTAAATATGATCGAGAGTTGCTCTTAATTTAGTTCACAATATAGGCAGGCAAATATAATTTGCAAACCACGGCAGAAATTTGTCCACTTAACTTCTTCATGATATAAATGCGCTAGATTCATATACGTAGAATCTCTACATATAGAAACAACTGTTACATACAACCTATAGAATATATTAATCTAAGCCTCCGCTTAAATGTTATTTATAGTCAGCCAAACAAACATCATGAAATGGGATCTGATGGACCGAGTGACATAATCACGTCTCATAACACATTTTAGGTTCAACCTTCTTTACGCAATTGGACACGGACGGTATTAATTTCGTAAAGACGTAATCGAAACACATAACTTGCACCCTTAATAATAATCAATTAAACATATTTGTGAAATTATTGAATATAATATTATACAGATATATATACATATATATATATATATATATATTTGTGCATTTTCGTTCATATTCATTAACTCTGGCATCTAAACTTTAGGAGCCAGCAAATTTTCAGATACGATATTTACACAATGCTTCCTCCCTGGCGATAATAAAGAATATATCTCCACATAGTTAACACTTAGGTGACTATGATATTAAATGAAGAGAACTGATGGCAAACTGAAAATTTTGTCAACGTTGACAAATATTCCACTTGAGCAAAAGCAACCAGAGGTCGCTTAGTAAATATTAAGGCAAACTAACACGCGTTAAATGCAATTGCATGTATATACACTCTTACGCATCTAAGTACATAAATCTCACCTTAATGCTGAGGGATATGTATGTGTATATATATATATATATATATGTACGTGCACATAAGGAATAAATGTTAGCATTAATCAAACCTGTGGTTTTTTGCGTGTAAATTAAACATAAATATCTGTATGGATTTTAGCATACATTTACATGCATCCTATTACAGTAGAGAGAGTTGTACACCTGTGTGAAGTCATTAATTCCTGCTTGGTTGACTGGTTTTTGCGTTGCAGGCATATGACTCACTTTTGAGTGTGCATTGAGTCGATAAGTTTGTGTATGTGCGTGTGGGAATCCTTGCTTGGCTGAGTGGCTTTAGTTATTGATTTGTTTATTTTTTGGTTTTGATTTAGGAATTGCCGCAACCCATCAAAATTTTACTCTTGAGTAGACACTTATATCATTATAGGGCTTCCACTGTATCGTTTTTTACTTTTATATACCCCCATATGATTTGTTCGAAATTGCATAGTGGTATGCATGGAAGATCTCGTTTACCCAAAAGTAAAATAAAAAGAAGACCAGCAAGCGCGTACACATTGGATTTCATAGAGTTCAGCTCTTACACTTGTCGCCAGTTGTCGCCAATTAAATAGAAAATATATTTAGTTTTGATATATTTTCGTAGAGTTGCCGTGCGATAATTTGTTTTTTTTTATCGTTATTCTCTTGCCTTCTACGTATAATGTCGATACTAGCCATTTATTTGAGGCTTTTATGTTTAATGTCGATAATAGCCACTTATTTGAACTTAGACAGTAGTCAAGGTGTGCGAATGGCATCAATAAATTTATGAACACTTTGCAGTTATCCTTAGCCGTATGGTAATGTGCGTGCAACACTCCAACTATGTGCACGGGTTGCAATTGAAACTGAGTGTCGACGACTCCCTCCATCTCCAACGATTGTTATTTTCTATTACCCTTTTGGATGCAGATTTAGTTAATTCTTGTTGTTGTTATTGCTGCTTTTCTCTAACATCGACAGCTGTGTAAACAAGCGTAAATGCCAATTATCTTTGGCAAATGCTTTTTTTTGGTGTCACACAAATTGTCCGAAAGAATTTGTTTAAAAATTTTTATGGACGAAAATTGGAACAAATGTTAAGTGAATTTTTCTATCTACAATACGGATCGAACAGTTCGCAACACTGAAAAATACTATATGATTATTTCTGATCGAGATAACATACATAATTCATCATAGTTACGATTTTTAGACTATGCATCACAAAAAAATTGCCTTTTTTTGCTTTTTACTCCCCCCAGCTTACATTCGAAAAAATAGGTAAGCCGGTTCTTAGTTTAATTCGTAAGCAGCAATATTTTGAATAAGAACATCGCAATTTGTTATTACATATATGTTTCGGATTCATACTCTCATATAGAAGTAGCCCTATACCAGTGCGTGAGCAGTAGTGGGGTTTAACCCATAGAAAAGTTTCGCGTTATCTTCGCGTATACCACACATTATATAACTTTAATGCTATATATACTTTAACTTTTTTTATTTACCAATATCACTAATGAAAAGTAAATGTTAGGTATCAATAGATTTGCTCTAACTTATATATAAATTCTTTTGTTTTTTCTTTTCTAATTTATTTCGTTTTTTTCCGTTTTCAATTTTTCGTGCAGAACACAAAAAGGCCTTTACTAAATCAATTCACGATGAAAGGGTCGAGTGTTTTAGGTTACACTAAAAGGGACAGCATTTTTAAATTATTAGTAACTTTCAGGTTTATTTCAGAAAACAATTGCTTTATTTCTTTAACAGTAAAGGAGTATGAGCAGCAGCAACAAGAGGAGAAGGAACATCGAAATGGGGTATGGCAGCACTCACGTAAGCAGCTGGAGCAGAGAAGACGGCGGCATGGGCAATGGAGTGAGCAGTATAACTAGAGCTATAAGGAGCCACATAAGCAGTATGACCCACTACAACGGCCGCATCAGGTGTAGTATAGGCCACGGGAGCGGTATAAGCAGCAGAAGCCAGAGGAGCGGTGTAACCTATAGGCGCTACTAAGCCCGGCGCTGCAGTCACCACCGACAATGCAGCGAGCATACAGACGGAATTCTTAATATTTGAAAAATGGTTAATTAATTCAAATGTTTTTTGAGAACAAAAAATTTGTTCAATTTCATTTTTTCATTTTTTATATCAACTTTCCTTGGAGACTTACCAATTTGCACATTTTAAGTAGTATTGTTTTTTTATGTCTTCCTAGGGGTTTTAGCTATACGTATGGATTGTTATTGTTAACTCGTTTCCATTTGCAAACGTTTATATACTCGTTTTAGCTGCTATGAAAAACTTAATTATAAATTCTCTTCAGGTTTGATTTAAAAAATTCCTTTTTAATATCACCATAACCACGACCTTCCTTCTGCTTATTAATCATTTAAGCGTTCGAATTTGTATATCATTTGAAAAGTAAGAAGGCTTTTGGATACGATCAGTGTTCCTTAGATCCTATGGATTTCAACAAGTTGTGCTAAGTATCAGCTGTTGTTCAGCAGTTGTTGTCTTAAAGCTGAAACATAACTAAAAAATGTAAACATTTACATAACGTATTATGAAGATGTGTGAAATTCAAATTGAGGTGGGTGTTAAAACGTCCTTGTGTAGAAAACCTATTTGGACCATCGAGCGCATAACATTTCTTAGACATTCCACAATGCTGAAGTTGACATATCTTCTTACGCATCGCTTGTTTATATAATAGAGCATAGACTACGAAAGCAATTGAGCTATTCATAGAAAGCCTTCCAAATGCTAATCACTTTACTTCGTATCAATTTAATAAAAATAAGTGGGTGTTTTTTTTTAGAAGTGCAAAGTGTTGCCTTCCGATATATATTTTACTTTAAAATTAGCCCCTGCTTCTTTACTTTATTGACCGGTCACATTTCGCGTGATTTTCTTGGCCGTTACAATGCACACTGGCTTACACTGTTTTCGTTGTTATTGCTTTGCAATACTTGCTTGATATCATATATGGGTCGATTTTTTCTTTTAAATTCTTATAAGAAACAAATTTTTTATCAAACTACTTGTTACGTTTAGAAATATCTATCGAAAGTAACTTTAAAGTTTTTGTTCCATCGCAAGAATTTTTTTTTAGTAGTTATGTAACGTTTCGCGAAGAAATATTAAGCATCACTTTTACTCTTGCAGCACTGGTGATGATGTGGTTCGATTAGTAGCATTGTAGTTCCAATTCCAGAAAATGCTTGGGATGTACTGGTAGATATTCTAATAAGTTAATATTTAACATTTTTGAAGGTGTTAAGAACAGTTTGCGAAGGGAATCTCCTTTATAACTAGAAGATGAAATTAATTACTAAACTAAAACTTTGCGTGAAGACTTGCTAGTTTTTAGAGTATCTAATGTAACTAAACGTAGTGTTGCAAAATTAATTGTTGCTTGATGTTGTGTAAAATTCTTTCTGCCGAACCAAACTATTAACGAAAATTTATGTACTTTAATTCCTTTTTTGCCATAGATTCAATTCAATCCGCGTATGCACATGGTGTAGTTTTGTCTGATTTCTGGTGATTTTCGAAGTTTAGGAAACGGATGAGAGCATCTCTTTTTTTTTCGATTAAAAAGATAAAGTCGAATCGAAAAATGTTTTTTTTTTTAGATGACAATGAATTAAAATTTGTCATTAACTACTCAAGAAATTTCTATACAAATTTCATACAATTGGAGTCCTTGCAAAACAAGAAAAAAACTACTCGATTAGATAACGCTACCCAATTTAAATAAGAAAGCTTTACTAACAACGTCAATAAGTCTCCAGTCTTATAGATATGCTGCTTTCGCCGGCTGCTGTCCATTCGGCTAACTGCCGATTTGACTGTGGATTGTAGTGATAAATCCACTTCCCATTCTTATTCACATATTGCATGAAAATTTTCTGTACATTGCGGCTAAACAAAGGGAAACGTCAACAAGTTGTTATCAAAAGTGAGCAATCGCGAGGCCCATTTCGAGCAGAAATTGCACAATTGTAAACAGATCGCCTTCTTTTATCCTTCAGATGTCAGATATCTCAAGCAGCTTTTCACCTTACCATCTTCCAATAATTTTGTACACCTTTTGATGTTTTCTAGAATAGTTTCCACTATTATCGAGATTCGTACGACCTCGTTTCAAATAAGCAAACCAACGATAGATTATTGTCATCACACGCTGGCTTTGAACGGTTGAAATCATATAGGTCTGTGTTGCCGTATATGTCTCACACCATAGACTTATTGGGCGATACGTTACGTGTATAAGTTTTGATTTTTATATATAGACTGGAAGATTCCAAGTATATACAGGCATGCTTATTTATGTGCCTGTCTATTTTCTTTAGCAAACTCTAACATAGAGCTGTGAAGCTTGGTAGGGATATCTTCGCTTGATTTTTATAAATTAAAATTTGAAAACAGATTCCAATCTTTTCACAAGCTCACTCCGATTTATTGACAGAAATAGATTTTTCAATTGTTTGTGGAAATTCATGTGACCTTAGTAGTCAGACATACAGGTAAATAAATAGAAAAATTTTAAATCGATCTCGATTTTGTGGTGAAAATAATAAGAAATTCTTGTATTGCCATTTAATACCATCATAGAACTGGTACAAGTATGTAAGCCTTTATATCACAGTGCAAACTAAGTAATTTAATTACTTAGGTGGACGTCTATGCATGAATTTTACCTATTTTGGCTGCTCTCATGCATTTGGAATATTAATTTACGTCTTCGTTACTTCGTTGTCGTTGTTATCATATTAATTAAATATATGTAAATATAGACATATGCAAGTGAAGAGTGCCCTTTACGGTATGTTTATGTATAAAAACTGTGTCACACTAAATACGTTATATTAATTATTTCTTCTCTCTTTTCTATGCTCACTACAATGGTTATAGTAAATCTGTCAAATGCTTACCACACATGAATATACTGAATACATTTTCAATCAGCAAATATAGACGAATAAAAGTTCTCGTTCTTTTTTATCTTTCTCAAATATTTTCTTTTTTTTAACAGGAATGGCCAGTTTTTACGGTCAACGTATGCACGTCTCGATAAATATTTTTTATAAAAAAGTACGTATTAGTATAATTTTGCTTCGACAAATGGCATGATGTTAATGTCAATGCCTATATACTATAACATATATATTAAGGATATATGCTTTGTTTCAATCGTAATAATAATTTAAAATGATTTAGATGATTATGTAAATCATGGTAAATCAGGTAAACACAATGTTCATTAACGAATTTTCCTCAACATTAATGGTGGAGAAGTAATTTTCGTGCTAAGAAATTAATTCGCTATTTCAAAATGTAATATGATCGACTACATTTATTAATTGTTTCACAAGCAAGGAACTAATTTTATAGAAGAAGAATGTTTCAACATGTATTTCAATTTAAGTACATATATTTTTGATCAGTTCTAAATTTTGAATTGATCTAAGTATGTATGTCCCTCTTTCCACTTGTTTGGCTGTTTACGGTGAAATGCGCATTGATGGTAAAACTAAAGCAACGCGCGCGCTTTCAAAATGAAAAAAAGCCGTGGAAATTCTTGCCCCTAGATTATAAATAAGCCAAATTAGTGAAAGGATAACCTTAGTCTACAGTGCAAGATAAACTTAAACTCTGTTTTCACGACCAAAATATGGTCATTTTGTTTATTGCTTACAAACTAAAACAAATGCGAGGATGTTATGCTATAAGTGCTTTTACTATACCAGGACAAGAAACGGAAAATGGGGTAAGTCTATAAAATATTATAGAGAATCAAAATTTAATATTTTTTTTTGTTTTTTTCTCTCTTGATGAAAGGTGTTTATTCATATATTTATTTACTTACACAGGAAACTCAGCTAAAATATATTAACAGCCGAATTCAATTGTCTCTTAGAAGTAAATCTTATATTAATCAATATTAAACACTAATACAAATTATATAAGGAGAGGTAAAGAAACAAAAATGATTTATGAACTAAATGAGAAGGAAAAAAAGCTTGTACACAACCGGCGCAGAGGTATATCCACAACTAGTACGGATCGAAGTTGCAAGTGAAAGCCTAAGCCATTGCAAACATACAAAAGCCTGGTAATCAGCTCAATGTGCAAATTAAAACATAATCTTTGATTAAATAGAACCCCTCAATCGATGAACGAATCAATGTCAGTACTGAATGACTTCCTTCTCAAAAAAGAACGCTTGTTACATTTTTTTTCGATCTCATTTCATAAAATTTAACTAGCAGCATATAATTGAATTATTGAAGTCCGTTCAAAGCTGATAAGATTGCGATTCCTAGGTGAAGAAAGACAATGGTTTAACATCGTCAGCGTACATTAAGATCTGGCTGGATTCAGTCACCGAGGAGAGATTATCAATGTATAAATTAAATAAAAGGGGTTCTAAGTTTCTGTCTTCAGGGACGCCAAACGTTACGGAGAATTCATCTGAAGTGATCAAGTTAAATAGAATCTTGAATGATCTGTTATGCAGAGACGATATTATCCATTTCACTAAGTACAAAGGGAAGCCAGAGAACAGCAGTTTGAAGGTCAATAGGTTACGGTTAATTAAGTCAAACGCTTTGCTAAAATCAGTATATGCGACATCCGTGCGAGAGCCAAAAGAGACGAAAAAGTCTTGAAAGCATGGCAATTAAACTCTAAGAGATCCGTAGTAATTGATCGTCCTTTCAGAAAGCCATGCTGGAATGGAGAAATATAAAATTTGATAGCAAAAGCTAAATCCTGGTAAAAGTTCTCTCAAATAACTTATGTAAGACACTCAACTTGGCAATGTCTCTATAGTTCTCAACACGAGGCCTGTCTCCACATTTGTGAGGCGGAATAAGCAAACTACTATTCCAACGCAAAGGGAAACCACTTGATTTCAAGGACTGAGTAAAAATCTTTGAAATAAGACCATATACTTCGTCAGAGCATGATTTGAGTACGCATGATAGAATGTCATCAAGCCCAGGCACACAAAAATATTTTATAAATCTCAAACGTGTAAAACGTCGTTCTCTGAAATGAGGAATCTAAACCGAGTTAGTTCTAAGATACAAATAGTTAACAGTTAAATCAGAATGAACAGTTGACAAATTTCGCCGGAAGTATTCAGCAAAGCGATTTGAGATTTCAATATCACAACAGGACTCTGAGCCACTGAGAGAAATCTGCGGGGGATATATGTAGACTTTTCTCTTTGACTTGACAAACTTATAAAAATATTTATGATTAACAAGCAGTGAGGATTTTATCAGCCCAAGGTATTTGTAATACCGTTAGTGGTTGATATGAATTATATCGATCGTCGAAATAGTCATCAGCAGAACCAATTTCATAAATTTTTTGAAAAGTTTGTTTTTCCTATTTTGGGAACATTTAATAC